CAATACTTTACCTTTCTGAGTCCTTTGATCTGAAATGTATACATTTCCCTCAGAGCTGTAAGATTACTGAAGATCCTGCACATTAACCCTCCATGGATGGTCATGAATAATAAGAATGCTATTCCAAAAGCAAAAATCACAGAACTTTGCAGCACAAAGAAATGTTTGCTTTTACCTCAGACATTCCTCTCATTTTTATATTTAAGGTTCTCTGAAGCTAAAATAATTTGTCAGTGATCACAGAGTAAGGTCCACAGTGATCATTGATTGTGAGAAGTAAACCAGATTTCTCTAGTCAACATTCTGATTGAGGAATAATTTAACCATTCACCACTTGCTTTAGATTTGAGGTTGGGCTTTATGAGCTACATAATCATTATCTGAGTAAATCACAAATGCAGTCTGATTCTTGCTGGAGCAAATTGTGATTTGAATAGTGTGTGGTTTAATAAATGCTGTGTATTAGGCTTGACAGATTCAGAACCAGTAACTATGCTTTTCATTCAATTTGTTAAGTGGAAAAGTCAATAAAAAGAGGTGATTTCTATAAAGTTCTCATCCACCAAATGTGGATTGTAATTTACAGACAAAGCTCAAACAAGGAAATAAATTGCAGGTGATAGAAGAGCTTTGGTAAGCAAATTATTGGGCACGGTGAGCATGTCAACTTTGGACTAAAATCTAAGGGAGCAGCTGTGAGGGCATGTAATTATGTGAAACCTGCCAACTACCAGGAAAGGGTGTTCTGAGCTGAAATGGCAATTGAAACTGGGTGTCCACTTCACCTCAAGTAATTATTTTCATGGCACCTGGTTCATTTTCTTTGTATTGTTTATGACAACTTGAAATCATTTCGTTTTATTCATTCCTACCTATCATAGCTCCCAGTTTCCAACAGAACTTCAAGAGACCAGAAATCAAACCCATCTTATACACCTAATAACCCCAATGCCTATTATAACATAGCCCAGCATATAATAGGTGGTCAATATGTGTGGAATACATAAATCCCTGTGGTTGCCTAGTAAGCGGGGTTAAGCAAGTTAGGCTGTGATAAGGACCAGTGAAATGAAGGGGACATACTGGAAGGGGACATTTCCTGAGCCCCACCTCCCAAGAAGGAAACAAGTATTTTATCTTAGCCAAAAAGAACCTAAAACCTATCATAGAAGATACAGGTTAATGTGTGTCAAATCTTGGTGGAAAACCCACAATGAGATTAGAAGGTAGAATATAAAGAGCCATGTTTAGTAATGAACTTGTTCCTTCTCGGCCATTCTCCTGCACTGTGGTAAGTATTTAAAAAAAGCTCCTACAGAAAATGGTACAGTTAAGCACGAAGAACACTTGGAAGATCTGGGCACGGAGTGTATCAGCTGTCACTAAGAACATGACTCCTCAGCTGTCGCCCCTCCTGTCCTTCTCCTTAGAAGTCACTCTGGTCACACAGTCCCTTAAAAGGAGGGGTCAAGAGAGAAATTTCATTTTGATTATCACATAAAATTACTCAAGATCAGTGTTTTAGAAAGCTACTAAATTCTTCTTTCTACACACATAATTTTAATAATGCATAGCCATGTGACACACTCATTCTGTCCAACAGGACAAATCAGTATTTAAAGGGCCACAAGGTCTCAGTGCTGTAAATTGTGAAGATTTTGAGTTCTTTTTATGATATAGCTGATCAAAACACAAAAACTTGTGGCTAAGCAGGAATGCGATCTTATATCTCATTTCTTTGAACTTTTAAGGTGAATTATGTTTACTTCTTTTAATTCTTGGGTTTTTTTAATATATATTTTTTTCTTTTTGGAAATTTTAGGTTTTCAGAAGAGTTGAGAAGAAAGTTTCCAGTTTCCTCTATAGTTCGCATCTGACTTTAGTATGGTACATTTTTCACAACTAATGAACCAATGTTGATACATCATTATTAGCTAAAGGCCATGCTGTATTCAGATTTCCTTACTTTTTACCTAATGTCCATTTTTTATTCCAGAATTCCACCCAGAACAGCGAACAGCACATTTACATTTATTCTTTATGTTTCCTCAGGCTCCTCTAGGCTGTGACAGTTTCTCAGACTTCTTAAATTTTTTATTTTATTTTAGAGAGATTAAGGGAAAGAGAGGGGGAGAAAGAAAGAGAGAGAGAGAGAGAGAGAGAGAGAGAGAGAGAGAGAGAGATATCAGCTATCTCCCAAACATATCCCAATCAGGGATCAAACCTATAAGCTAGTTATGTATCCTGACTAGGAATTGAACCCACTACCCATCGGGGTACAAGACAACACGCCAACTAACTGAGCCACACCAACAAGGGCACCATGACAATTTTATCTGCTTGTCAGAATAGTGTGGAATTTCCCTCAATTTGACTTTGACCTGTGTTTTTTTTTTTGTTTGTTTGTTTGTTTGCATTTTGTTTGTTTCTTTGTTTGTTTGCCTGATTGGACTAGGTTATGGGTTTAGGGAAGGAGTCTGACAAGCACTATCTCAGCCATAAGGTCAAGGTTAATATCACAACAATATGCTGGTGGCATGTACCTTTCATATGATATGAATGGCATTCTATCTTTGTGATTCTACTTTTCAAGTAGAAACTTCTACACCTGCACATTTTCTTCTGTGAAGTCATAAATCGTGATATATATTTGGTAACATGAAATGGTTTAAAACTATAGTAAGATCAAGCCATTTCCCCCCTAAATGTGAAAAGTAAATGTGTCCCTCTTTAGAATTTTTGCCTTGGAACATGAATCTCTTTTATCTGTAAACCTGTCATGGGTCTTAAGGGATTTCTGCACATGGAACAAAGTATTAATACTGGCTGTGAGCTAGCGTAAGAGCATAGCCACCATGCAATAATTGCAGAAAACCCCCATCTACCCTTGGGTAATGCAAAGGAAAGCAAACTGGTGGACAAATTTCTGCTATTTACAAAAATAGCATATATATCATAAAACATGGCATTATTTTTAAATTCTCCTCTAATTATTTGAATTGGAGGCAAAGACTATACTTAGATAAAATATGCTCAGATTCTCATGACTATCTTATATGTAAGAAATGAGTATCAGCAACTAATTTAGGTCACAACCAGTTTAGGTCCTGGAAATGAGGCAGCATGGGGGAGGAAGCTCATCAAAAAGCTTCTCCTGCACATATATGAATAAAACAAAACAGCAGATCAGGCCATTATATGAGATAAGGAGGCTAAGGGTCAGTTGTGACCTAAGTAAATTATTGCTAATAGGGCAGTCTTGGTACTACCGAAAGGAATAATGAGTTTCTCCAAGTTGGAGAATGCTTTTATATCAGACCAAAAGAAAATGGCTAATGAATCTATATCATTAAACACAACTACATTCAACAATTATTATATGTATATATATGTGTGTGTGTGTATTTATATATATAAGTGTATATATGTGTGTATATATACTCTTATATATGTAATGAATAAATATGATTTTTTCTAAATCTCAAATTAGCTACTGTTTGTTTATTAATACATACTTATAAATTAACCTAAAAGAACAGAAGTAAGAATAGTACATTGGTTATTCTTACCAGTATGCTTAAAAAAAAAAAAAAAGACATGTTTTGATTGATTTCAGAGAGAGGAAGGGAGAGGGAGAAATAGAAACATTAATGATGAGAGTAAATCATTGATCAGCTACCTGCTACATGACCCCTACTGGGGATCCAGCCTGAAACCCAGGCATGTGCTCTGCCCAGGAATTGAACCGGCAACCTTTTGGTGGTGCACAGAATGACATTCAACCAACAGAGACACTCCTGGGCATTCTTATGCCTCTTAATATGAGAGGCTAGCCTTGCAAACTGCGGACATCAAAGACAGAAGAGAAACCTGTTATTCACCCAGACAAACTCACACCATATTGATCATTAAAGCCCTTTTCTCTATTTCTCTGGCCACTTAGTTTACTTTAAGCATTTATCTTATCTCCTTCATATGAATAAAAAAAAAGCAGGTGATAAGTAAATTATCAGACTTTATGCTATTTAGGAAATAAAATGGGTGTCTACTTTGAAAGCTACTGTTAAAAAGAAGTTATTTGGCAAGAAGGTAAATCTTGCTGTTATTTCCATTCCATTTGATATTTTTCATTAAATCATAGAAAGAAAACTAAGTTATAAAAAAGTATTTTAAAATTATTTTTATTTAGCATCCAGTTTGAGAGGGGGGGGTGGGGAAGGAGAGAGAGAGAGAGAGAGAGAGAGAGAGAGAGAGAGAGAGAGAGAGAGAGAGAGAGAGAGAGGTTGTGCTCCCTAGAGAGGAAACCAGCTTAAGACTTGATGGGCTTTCCTTATAAGTCTGCTTGTTATTTTTAACCATCACGGTCTCTTTGCTGACCAACCTATTCTTGCGAGCTATGGCAAGGGAGGAAGAGCAGGAGCAGAGGAGCTGGGTGAAAGTTGGTGACACTCCTGCCAAAATTCCAAGTGGAAATAGAACCCCCCAGTACCTTCTTAGGCATGGCGTGGAAAAAAAAAAAAAAAGATTTACAACTTCAGCAGAATCATAATTCCACGAAGAAAATAGTACCAGTCAATCAACTTTACTATCACCCAAGGATCTGAAACGGGCTTTGGCATATGTCTTTCTCTTTTATAGATGGAGGTGGGGAGAAAAGAAAAAAAAAAAAAAAAAAAAAAAAAAGCAAGAGGAGTTTAAAAAAATATGATGAACCCCTGACCCCTTTCAACTCCATTTATAGACTGAGCAGGAATGCCATCCCCCTTGACTGGCGAGCTGTCCAATCCAGCCTCCTGTGCGGGGTTCTGAGAGGCACTGAGTGAAATATATATGCAGGCCCTCAGCCCGCTTAATCCTCTGGGGCCACCTTCAAGACGCTGGGCCGGGCATCAACCGCTCTGCCACTCCTCTTCCAAGAATCATTTGACAGGTTCTGTTGGAGGTGCTCCTTCTCTCTCTCTCTCTTTCTTTTTTTTTAAAAACCCGTGCTTTTCAACAAAATGGCACCAAAGAAGGACGTGAAGAAACCCGCAGCGGCTGCTCCAGCCCCAGCCCCTGCCCCGGCCCCTGCACCTGCCCCCCCCAAAGAGGAGAAGATTGACCTCTCTGCCATTAAGGTAACCACACAGGTGAATGGTTTGGTCACTGAAACATCTTCCGACAGCAGGGAACTCTAGAAACTTGCAAAAGGTAGATTTTTTTTTTTTTTTCCTTCATCGAGACCAATGTCGTTATTAAGTGAACTGGTAGGTGTGGAGAGGAGAGAATCCTGAGGAAAAAATAAATGAGCTCCAACATGTCATTTCAATAAGATTGCCATGAGTATGGTAATTGCCTGTGGGGCCTGTGTTTTCTCTATAGTTTTGCTCTCTACTTTCCTTTTTTCCCTCCCTAAGTTGTTAAAGTGCAATTTATGGGTAATTTATATAAGAGTAAAGGTGCTTTGCAAATATTTAAGCAAATGCTTGGTTTAATTTTTTTTTAAATAAAATCTCTGTAGAAACTAGATCCCTTGTTTGAAAGCTGTATCAAAAAGAACGCTTGAGTCCCTCCAGTGACTTCCAAAAATTTTAAGACAGCTGAAGACCCAGTTGTCCCGGATGTCCTTATTTGACAGCAGCTTTATTTCATCTGAAAAAAGGGGAAGGTTTTTGCAATTCAAGCTAATTTCCCCTTCAGCTTTGCCTAATAAAACTGGATACAACACTAAATGAGATCGCCGTGCAGACAATTCTGTACTCAAGTGTTTCAGTGACTATAACTGTCATCTTGTTTATTTATACACGGGATTTAATTCAGAATGCGTGTGCTGTTTCTAAACGAAACTAACACAAAAAATACTGTAAAACTTGGTTGTGTGGCTTTTCGTTTATGTTTTTGAGCTCTCGCATCCTTGAACTAAGGAGAATGTGATTCATTTTTGTGTCAACACTTGCCTGTGATCACAGTTCTTGAATAGCAAAAGGTGAGCTGCTTTTAGAAAAATGATGCAATGCTTGAGGCTGTTACCTCTCAGTGATGTAACCCATCCAATGTGCCCCTTCTCCTCAGTCGCTGGGCCGAGATTGGTCCAAAGGACAGTATTAAGGTCTACATCCTCAGAACCCTGCCTTATATGGAAAACGCAAGGGCAAAAGTGCCTATGCGTGCTCTTTTCCCTTAAGTCAAAAGTTCAGGACACAGTAAATCTGAATTTTGCCAACTTGACACTTTACTTGCAATGGCAATGCTAACGTATAGATAAGCACCTCATTGACTATTTTACTATAATTGCATGTTTTGAAAACATTCTTAACATAAATATCTACTTAGATCATCTTTAGACATATGTGCTGAAGTTAAATACATTCATAATCCTTATAATGTTCCTGTTAAACATTAAATTTTATGTTTCCAAGGAGGAGTAGATTATCATCAATATTTTATCTTGAGTTTATAGATAACTAAAGTCAAATTTTCATAGAATCTAATAATGGTGGTTAGGAACTTGTTTTGTTGTTGTTAGGACTATTATTTTTAATGAATAGCTACTTAGGAAGAGAAATGCATGTCAGACCTCCTAATAAATATATTTCCGCCATGAGGACTGCCTGCATACAGCTCATTAAGAGGAAACCAAATGTTTCACCCGCACTACCTAGTTAATGTAGCTGTATAGATGCACGCTGACTACATTGTACAGTAAGTGTGATTCCAGCCACGCCGGTATCTCTGGCTGTCTCTATCCTCTGGTTCTGTGCTCTATCCTAACATTAAAGATAAAAATTAATGTCAAAGCAATTCCTCCTTATATTTATTGTGATTTATAAGACAATACCCTCTCTTTGTACAAGCATCTGGAAAGGGGGAAATGTACCCTTATCTTAAGAAGAAAAAGAAGTAGTTCCCTAATGAAAACAGGCATTAATGTTCTTCCCTGAGAAACAGTGCAAGAATAAGTAAATAAATAAAAGTTTAGCTTGGCAGGTAAGGGGATTTCCAAGACAAGACAAAACATCACTCTTTCAATCAAGAGATTAAATAGATTCCTTGTTTATAGTCAGAAGAAAATTGGTTTATCTTTTCCTCTCTAGGTTGAATTAAAGCTGGTATGAGCTAGTGCAACTAAGCAAAAGAAGGAAATACTCCTCGGAGTCTCTATAAAGATGGGGTCTGTTCCATCTTCATTACTTCCCTGCAGAACAAGAGATGTGATAGGCCCCAGTTAAGGGACACAAACCCAAAAAGAAGTTAAGTAAGTCTAGAAGAAATAGGAAGAAATTAACTTTCATCTTTAATTCAGAGAGCCAATTATTTTTTACATAATATATTTTTATTGATTTCAGAGAGGAAGGGAAAGGGAGAGATAGAAACATCAATGATGGGAGAGAATCATTGATTGGCTGCCTCCTGCATACCCCACATGGGGGATCAAGCCCTAACTGGAATCAAACCATGACCTTCTGGTTCATAGGTTGACACTCAACCACTGAGCCATGCCAGCCAGTCCAGAGAGCCAATGCTTGATAGAAAAAGAAAACAGGAGTGAAATGAATATATTTTTGTGAAGGAATTTCAATGCCTTCAATAACTTTCATTTATCAATATGAAATGAGTACGTATTTATAGGTATGATAACATGGCCTAAGAATGTAATGCAACTTGAGGACTTTATAAACTTAATTTCATCCAAGTAGGTAACAAGGCTAATTAAAATGCATATTAAAACATTTCATATTATGATGCTTTTAATCACTTAATGATATTCCTAGTTATATTACCTCATATGTTTTAAACTTTCTTCAAGCAGAGAAAATGAACTTTAAAGAAATTAATAGAGCTATTCTATGTGTTCATTAACTTTCTGAAAACTTAATAAAAAAAATTAAATTGGATTTTAAACTTTCATATATCATAAGACTTAGAAATCTATCTGTCCTTTAGTCTTTGAATAATGCTAAAGTTTAAGCGTAACGATCTTTGTGTAATATTATAATCATGGTATTATTGAATTCCTCAATGTTATTTCCAGCCAATATCTGTGTTTCACATAACATACCATGTTTAACAGCCATTTATTTGACTCACCATAAACTCTGAACAATCTTGTAAATTAATTAGTTTTATCAATTTCTTAACTGTGTTTTTTTTTAATGTGCCTTTATTTTTTTTTACTTTTTTATTTTTTTTAAAAGCTAAACTTTTTTTTTTAAATATATTTTATTGATTTTGTGCAGAGAGGAAGAGAGATAGAGAGTTAGAAACATCGATGAGAGAGTCATCGATCAGCTGCCTCTTGCACACCCCCTACTGGGGATATGCCGCAACCAAGGTACATGCCCTTGACCGGAATCGAACCCGCCGGGACCTTTTAGTCCCCAAGCCGACGCTCTATCCATTGAGCCAAACCGGTTTCGGCTTAATGTGCTTTTAAATATTATTTCCACCCTAGCCAGTTTGGCTCAGTGGACAGAGTGTCAGCCTACGGACCAAAGGGCCCAGGTTCAAGTCTGGCCAAGGGCACATGGCTAGGATGCAGGCTTCTCCCTGTCCAGGGTGCATGCAGGAAGCAACCAATGTGTTTCTCTCACATTGATATTTTTCTCTGTCTTTCTCTTTCTTCCAGTCTTTAAAAATCAATGGGAAAATATTATTGGGTGAGGATTTTTTTTTTTATTTCCTCCTGATTTGTGGGTTATTTGTTTAGAACAGTTTCTTCAATTGTTCTGACATAAAATCTTTGATATCTGAGGAAATGCTTATAGGATGTCTCATCTCCATGGATGGTCTATGAGTATCCTTTTTCAAAAACACATTTTCTGCTGATATTTGAACATTGAAGTTATGAGCTCTTTGCTTTCACAGAGAGGATACTTCCAACAGCACTGCCCTGACGAAAGAACACTGCCTGACAGAACCTCAAGTGTAGGAATTAAAACCTACCCTGAATAGTACAGTTGTAGGTGCAAACACAAGAATTAACACCTGATGCCCCAAATTACAACCAAGTGAAATAACAAAAGTAGATAAGTTATGAAATTACCATGCTACTAGATTTTTGAAGCTCTTCGATGTGTACATGGATAGTTTGCATGCTGCATGCTATAGCTTATATGTCAGGATTGCTGTGAAGTGATGGGACTAAGAATCATGTCTCTCACTGTGTGGCTTACATTTTAATTCTCTTTGTACTCACCACTCCATCGGGTCATCTCTGACTGGATTGCAGGCGATATGACAAAAAGTGGTAAAGGTACAAAATGCATTGACAGAAACTCATTCAGTAACAAGCCTCTCAGCAACAATTGACCATGTGCTTGGGAAAACTTACACTTTCAATTTAATGGGTAAGGTAGAAATATAGCATTCCTAATAAATACATCTATTTACTTATGGATATTCAGTGGAGGCAAATACATGTATACATTGTGACACCTAACTTAGTCTGGTCAGGGATTGTTAGTGTTAATCTATAAATTGTTTTTCTCACACCTAACCAGGCTAACACAAACCCAGCCCCTCTTAGGAGAATTGTTGGGGAAATCAGATAAGGTCATGGCCGTGAAAGATTTTGAAAAATTATAAAGTTCATTATAATAGAACAACCACATTCCTTGTGATTTTACTCTGTGCCCCATCATCTTATTGAATCCTCAAAACATTGCACTGAGATTGTTTTAGCCTTGTTTTGCAAGGAAAAAAAAACACGAAAGGGTCTAAAAGGTTTGGTGTTATATCCACGATCAGATAACTAGTGATGATGGAGCTAGAAGTAACCTCACAGGCCAATCCAGAGTCCACTGTCTTAGGCATATTACAACCTACCTTCTGCTTACAAAGAGTGAGTTGCTGTTGGTAAGAATGTGTAAAGGAGACTATTTTCCTCTCCAGCATGCAGGGTAACTTACATTACCCTGCACAGCCCTGTGTCGCCGCGAGAGGGAGGGACAAGCACACCTCAGAGCAAGTGCATGCCTTAACCTTGGCCCTTCACTAAAGTTCTATTCTCCCTATTCTCCGCAGCTTTCCTATCTTCTCATCTCTCTCTGGCTGGTGGGTTGTGTTCTCTTTTACACCTGGAAGGGGGAATATTGAAAACAAATGAAGACTCCTAGCCACTGTGCTACAGCTTCCTATA